CTCAGGGCTTGCTGGGTGGGTAATAGCCGAACGGCTAGCTGATGTCAGCCTCCTCACTATCCGTAAAGAAGTTGATGACTTCCTGTCTACCAGACCGCGTGTCTTACAACACTTTTGCGATGCGATGGCTGAAAGCCCAGACATGCAGAAAGAATATGCAGGCGAGAGAAGCAGAAGAAATGTGGAAAAGGCTGAGGTCGGAGGCCTGATTTATCAAACACTTAAAACTTTCCTACACATGCAATTTCTGCTACTTTGAAGACACAGCTACGTCCACGGTTTATCGGACTTTCAAGGTCGTGGCCAAGCGGGACCTTCCGTAAATTCTTGACCTTCCAAAATGAATGCGCACCCAATCGGTGTTTTTTGAAGGCTTGCTCAAGCCGTTCCGGAATCCGGTGCAATTGATCGCGGAAGCGTTGGCGCCGGAGCGGCTCCCACAGGCACTCGACCACCTTGAAATTGGACCAGCAACTAATTTTTAGCGCGGAGCGCAACCATATCCATCTGTAACGGCGCCAAGCGCTCCAGCGTCGCACGAAGCGATGCGTTCGTCCGCTCGACGGCTAGGAGCCGTTCCGACAGAGCGCGATAGCCCTCAACGTGAGGCAGTCGGTACACAAAGTGCTCCAAGATTTATAGGTCTTCCGCACAGGGTTTTGCGACCACAGCATGATGCCCAGCAGAGCCCTGTTCGCGACGGACATTGTTCTCAAGAGCTTAAAGAACATCGCAGGTCACCAGACGGCGATCGACCAGGTAGTTATCGTCCGCCGCCGACTCTTCTCGACAAGAACAGTGGTGGCCACTAACTCTTGGAACGTCATGTTGGCCGACGTCGTCGCCAGGATCAAACCCAGTATCTTGTGAAGTAGCGGGGATACCTCGACTCCGAGAACTCGTGGGAGTTTAGGTGCCACTTCGGCAAGACTGCCCAGACGCCGTGGACGCTTATTCATGACGCTTGGCGTCGTCGAGCGCCCCGTGCTTCTCGGCGGTACCCCCGAGAAGCTGGATTGCCATGAGCCGAGCTCAAGCTATGACCCTGAGCTGCTGTGGTCGCAGACTCATTCATGTTATAGACCACAGAGCCCGCGGGAGCGTGATAGATTAATCCATACGTCACAGGGCGCCAATACGCAGGAAGACTGAGTTGCGCCTTGAGTTTAGAAAAGTCAAACCCAAGCTAGCGGTCCAGGCGTACTTTCACCTTCTTGTGGCTCTGCCGTAAGGTAGAAAGCAAGGAAAGCTTCCGGTGCCACTGCACCCATTGCTCAAAAAGCTCATCATCATCTGCAGTGATTCGCCAGGGGCGAGCACAAAGAAATTGGTCCGCACTGCAGTACAGGAGGGCCTCCTCTTTGAGCTTGAAGTCGAGCACGGTATCGACTAGCGGAATTTCTTCCGGAACCGAGAAGCGAGCTCGGAGAGCTTTCTGCTGGTTAAGCTCAGCTTGCGTAGTGGCC